CAGGAATGCGCGAGACCCTCGCGGGGCCGCGGCAGGGAACAAAACGCCCTCAGTGCGCCGGTCCCCGCTCCTGCATACCTACAGATCAAACCCATATGGGGGCCATAAATCTCCCCTTATTACAGCTCCCTCCATAGAGATGCCTTTCATGGAGAGATAAGAAAGTTGACTTTGTTCGGGGGGACAATGTCGCTTTTCATACCGGCCCCCACGGAGTACGGCCCCCCCGGTGCCTCCCGCCCCAGCGCAGCTCCCGGGGTCCCTGGGACGCCCGCGGGTGCCAGTGGCAAACCCCGCACCCTGGCCCCATTGCAGCACCCAGGAGCGACTTTGGGAGCAGGACCTGCGTGGTGCTGCCGGCTCACACCCTGCAGAAGCCCTGCCTGCACCCTGCTGCCCACTCCTCCTGCCCGGACCCGCCAGCCGCCCGCCAGGCACTCACAGCTTCTCCAGAGCCCGCAGCCCGAAGAAGGAGCCGTTCTCCAGCACCGTGATCTTGTTGTTACTCAGCAGCCTGTGGGAAGAGCAGAGGGAGAGAGGCAGCCCCATTATTCAACCTGTTGGGCAGCCCCATCGGCGACCTGCAGGGCTGGAGGGGGAGCAGGGACAGCCAGACCCACTGCAAGAAGCAGCAGCCCTGGCTGTGCCGCTGCGGTGGTGGTGATGGTGAAGCTTCAGGGACAGGTTTGCACGACTGGGTGGGGACATGAGATGCAACGGCCATGTCGGGATGCCATGCTGTGGTCCACATGCATGGCAGCACCGGGCTGGAGGTGCCCAGGGCTGTGCCGGCTCTTGGGGCATCACTCCTGTACCTGGGCCTGGGTGTAAGGAGCTGCACGTGTGGGTGACGAGATCCCCACCCCAGCACCTGCACTGAGAGGGCACCCCAAGGACCTGCAGCCAGGAGGGGACCCCACGGCACCCCCAGCTCTTGCCCCCTGCCAGCCTGACCACCCTCTGATCACAGCATCATGGCCATCCCAGGAACCTCCCAGCGCTGAGATTTTATCCCAAAGTAAACAGCTTTGCTGGCCAAAGGGGCCCTTGCAGGGTGACAGGAGAGGGAGGGAGGGCACAAGCACCCAACAATTCAACCAGGAGCTCATTAAAGCGCATCAGGGGCAATTAGCAGAGCCAGACCTGGCCTGGGGATGGGAGCCAGCTCTTGGGGACCAGGGGTGCTTCCCCAGCGCTCCTGGGTGTCTGCGTGGGCACCGGCGATGCTCCTGCCGGCAAACGTGATCCAAAAACAGAGGGGGACGGCCGCCAGCCGGGGCTGGGAGGGCACCCTGCAGCCCTGGTCAGGGAGAGGCGTGGGGAAAAAAGGGCTCATTGAGGGCCGGAGCCGGGGCTGTTTACACACAGGCGGGCTCTGCAGCCAGGCTGAATGGCGGCTGTGTGCTGCAGAGCTCCATCCCCTCCGAACACCCACCCTGCGGCAGGCGCCGGCAGCCCCGCCCCCCCCTCTCCCGCCGGGG